TAAGGGAGGACCAAAATGGTCTGAAGTCATCCGACGTGTAACAAACAACCTGGATACCAATGCGGTTATTCAGGATATCTCAGTTACCGATCAACCAACAGGATATGATTGGCATGCACCATTACCCGCAGGGGTTGCCAACATCAGTACTCGGTTGTATTGGCAACCCGAGGAACCGGTCTTGCTCGGAAACGAGCCGATACAATCACCACAGAAACATCGACGCGTCATCATAGATGACTGTTCTCTCCCCCTCCCGACTCTGGCGATTGACGCATGTACCCACTCAACCACGACAATGAGTACACAGACCGACGAACAAGACGAGCAAGCTTTACCCACTGAATCGCGTATAAAGCAGAAGGAGAGGCTCAAAGCCGAAAAGGAAGCAGGCATCAAGCCTCGCCGCATTAAAAAGCACGTTGAAGACGGAAACGATGATTGCGGCGACGACTTGTCAGGACTCGGACAGGATCTTATGGCAACCTGGAGTACTGACGTCCCTGTTGAGCTGATAAGCTCCGACGAGGACGATGACCTGTTCCTTACCCTCCCCACATCTATGCCCGACACACACGCTAACATATACAGCATAGTTGCTACACTATGCTATGGTCATAACAACTGCGTGGATATGTTGGAGCTTTGTGGCGGTGAGGGTGGCATCTCAGAGCTTGCCTTCTCAAGGGGACTTTCCTCAGGCGGCAACCTGGACAAGACTACATATGTCGACCTGGGAGACCCCTCGGTGCAGCAGGTTATAGATCTTTACTTTGCTATATGCTACGTACGAGTTGCCATACTGCAACCCAGCTGCCGCACCACAGGACCACCATCCTACTACAACTACAAAGTCAACTACAACACTTGGGAACAGCACCATAAAGAAGACTTACCACACATAACTTATTGTGGTAAAATTGCTGTAACCCAAGATGACGCTCGGAGGTGGTTTATACGCGAACAACCTACAGGAACATGGGTAGATGATATTTCTCCATGGAAGAAGCCTGCCAACCGACCACACATTACAACCGTACGCATTGACCAATGCGCTACGGGACTTAAAGACACGACTGGTGACTATATTAAGAAGCCGACAAATATCACCAGCAACGACGAGACAATTCTTAAACCCTTTGAGCGACTCAAGTGTAACGGTCAGCATGTGCACGCACAACCGTGCAACACCGAGCTTTCACTGGCACAAAAATACACCCGACGACTGCAGTCTGCCTTCGTGGAAGCTGTATATCTGGCGAAAGCCATTGACACCACGCGCGGAAACGCGCCTATAAGTACCGCACATGCTTATCCTACAGACCTTCCCGATCAAGCCGAACCAGGCGAAGGTATGAGACGCATCGGTGATCGTATCATCCCAAAGGTGGCTACTTGCCCGGCATGCATCGACAACGTCCGAAAGGACAGTCCTAGCCATAACAGAGACCCTACGCAGTGTAAATATCATGATTCCATCTCTGTATATTTGCCATGTCCAGCATGTCAGAGGGATCTTACGAGAAGCAAGGGTGTTAAGAACCACCTCGATACCGAACCTGGTAAATGTCGTTTTGCTGAACCATTTAAACTACCAGACGACCACGACCCCGAAGGCAAAGCCGTGCCAGCTTGGTGGAAACCCTTACCTAAACCTGGTGAGGGCCAAGCTTCAGCTTCAGGTGGCCGTCGAGGCGCACACGCCAGGCCACCAAGACCACGATCCTTCGGCAACGTCGATCCGACATCTGGTGCCAGCAGCTACGACATGCTACGAGACGCCCCCGAGCGTGGAAACACGCCTTCTGCGTCTTCTAGCGAAGTGCCACAGGTAGCGGCCCGCCGCGGCCGTCTACAAGGCGCACCACCACCTCCAGACGCAGTTAACACAGGGGACCAACTACGGAGAGCTACAAGGAACCCTCTTGCCTCCACCGGCTCTGGGGCTCCACGACTACCCGACTGGACGAGATTCGATATCCAACACAGTCTACAGAGTCTCCGTAGTCACGATCCTCATGTCGTGAAAAAGGAACTCCGAAAACTGCATCTGCGATGGTTTGAGGGAGTTTCTGTGGAACTCACGTCAGCCTCACCCCCGGCGCGAAGAGCACGAGCCCAGAGCGGCCTCCGGCACCGTTTCCGGACGGATCCGCTGGATCCGCTGGATCCGCTGGATCCGGTGACGAATCCCTAACCGGCGCCCTCGCCTGAGACATCCTCACAAAACGGGCCCCGGGGGGGATGCCCAGAGGAGCCCAGAGCGGCCTCCGGCACCGTTTCCGGACGGATCCGCTGGATCCGCTGGATCCGTCCGGTGACGAATCCCAAACCGGCGCCCTCGCCTGAGACATCCTCACAAAACGGGCCCCGGGGGGGATGCCCAGAGCCCAGAGCGGCCTCCGGAATCCGCTGGATCCGGTGACGAATCCCAAACCGGCGCCCTCGCCTGAGACATCCTCACAAAACGGGCCCCGGGGGGGATGCCCAGAGGAGCCCAGAGCGGCCTCCGGCACCGTTTCCGGACGGATCCGCTGGATCCGCTGGATCCGGTGACGAATCCCAAACCGGCGCCCTCGCCTGAGACATCCTCACAAAACGGGCCCCGGGGGGGATGCCCAGAGGAGCCCAGAGCGGCCTCCGGCACCGTTTCCGGACGGATCCGCTGGATCCGCTGGATCCGGTGACGAATCCCAAACCGGCGCCCTCGCCTGAGACATCCTCACAAAACGGGCCCCGGGGGGGATGCCCAGAGGAGCCCAGAGCGGCCTCCGGCACCGTTTCCGGACGGATCCGCTGGATCCGCTGGATCCGGTGACGAATCCCAAACCGGCGCCCTCGCCTGAGACATCCTCACAAAACGGGCCCCGGGGGGGATGCCCAGAGGAGCCCAGAGCGGCCTCCGGCACCGTTTCCGGACGGATCCGCTGGATCCGCTGGATCCGGTGACGAATCCCAAACCGGCGCCCTCGCCTGAGACATCCTCACAAAACGGGCCCCGGGGGGGATGCCCAGAGGAGCCCAGAGCGGCCTCCGGCACCGTTTCCGGACGGATCCGCTGGATCCGCTGGTGGGATTAGAGGCCCTCGGCTCGTCCCGCCACCGAGCCTGGGTTGTGGGCCAGAGGCATCTTCGATGCCTGTTGGGGTCTCTCGGGATGCCGGGGGCCTCTTGGATATCTCCTGAGGGCTTCTTGGAGCCTCCTGGGGTCCTCTTAGGGGTTTCTTGGAGGCCCCTTGGGGGCTCTTGGGGGCATGCTGGGGCTCTTGCTTCCAGGGCCGTCTGGGGGCCATCCTGCTGGCAGTGTCCGCAGGAGCCTTTGGGGGCTCTTGCGGACAGCCTGGTGGCTGGACAGCCCGCGACGGGGCCCAGTCCACCGAGCAGCTCTCCGCTCGGACAGCCCTTGGCTGGATTCCGGGCGCCCACGCGCACGCTTCGCTCGGTTGGCCCTTGTCGGGATTCCGGGCGCGGCCTCCCTGGCAGCTGGATGGCCCGTGGCGGGATCCCCTGGCAGGACCTTTCCCCTCTTGCCCGTTCTCGGGCCGCTACCCCTGGTGACGCTCCTGTACCGCTCAGGTGTGGATCCACCCCGGTTCGCCGGGGATTATTGCATTGTCCTTCCTTGCGGTTCTCTCGCAGGGGACGCCCCTGTACTTTGTTCAGGTTGCAACTGCGGAGTCGACTGTTTCTTTTTTTTTTGTGCATATGGACCCTGACTTGAGGGGGCAGTCCAGTATGCGCGTGCCTGGATGTTGATGCGTGCAGACAGTGATAGAGCCTACGGGGCTCTTGACCTTGGTGTGACCCCTGGACAGACGGGCTCTGGACATACTGGAGCGGTGGGAGTTCCGGACACATCACTTCGAACAGGAAGGAGGCGCAGGCAGTCGAACTTGCCAGTACCCCGTGTACTGACGGAGCTGTTGACTTGCACCCCTTGAACCCCTGTATACATCGCTGCACAGTGTCACCCTTGGGTCACGAGGAATGCATGTCATAATAACTCTTTACATGAGTATGATGGACACAGGGAGCTCTGGACATCGGTATGTGTTGGGGCCCTTGGGCAGTCAGGAGATGACAGGGACCCACGGCGCACGGCAGTAATGTGTACACGCGTTTTTTTGGCATATGGCAGCGCAGGCTGTTGGTTTTGCCGTGAACTCGGGCACGCGGCAAGTAATGGCTTGCACCCCTGCCTCCGTTCTAGCAAATCCTCCCCCTGAATCCTGCGGCAGGAAGTCGTCTGAACGTGTTCTCCCCTGGCTGAGCCCTTTTCTTGGCTACTGGTTTACGTTCGTGCCTTCACTTTCGCCAGGCTTGCATTTTGCATTGCGGATCCAGCGTTTTGCCTATATTGCGCATCTCTCTGGGTTTCGTTGTTTAATTTCGCCCTCGCGCCCGGCATGGCGAGCATGCTGGTCAACTTGTTATGCCTCCCGCCCTCGCGTTTTCATTGCCTGCGCCGGCGCGGCCTTTGATGTTGACTTGTCCATCGAGGGGTTGCTGTGGAACGGACCATTGTACGGCGTAGCGATCGATCTTGCGCGCCCGTTAACGAAAAAAAGGACCCTTTGGTCGCGTCTTGGTGCCTTCTTGGTCCATCTCAGGAGCCGCGTTGCATTTGGAAAAACCATTCGAGGCGACCGAGGCGCGCGGCAGCGCCCAAGAGATCTTGGGAATTTGGCCCCAGAGCGCAGAGAACAGAAAGTTGTTCAGTAGGGGGAGCGTTTTTTTGTCGAGCGTTCGTTGTCGAGTGCTTCGCCGCCGTTTTTTTGTCGAGTGCTGCCGCCCCCTCCCTCCGCGCAAGGGATACGCCGACCTCTGGCGTTGTGGTGTTACGACCCCTGAAACAACTTCCTGGGTCCCTGGGTTCAACATGGATTCGTCCTTCGACCCCGTCCTTCGACCCCGTCCTCGACCCCCATGGGGGTTCTCCTCGTCCTTCGATCCTGGGGCCACCACGAACGACCCCCCCCCCCCTGGGGGCGACCTTCAAGGCGAACGCTCACCTCCAGGGCGAACGCCCGCCTCGGGGGTGCCGACTTCGCGCGCGTGGGTCACGGAGGGCTTCTGAGGCTCGCTTTGGAGGTGTCGGGTTCCGTCCCGGCACTTCCTCAATGCCCCAAGAGGGCCCCGCGATGGCTCCGAGAAAAGTTCCATGAGGCCCCCAGAGGGCCCCGTCAGAACATGCGCAAACATCGCGTCGCAGGTGTCATGTGCGTCTCCTTGGGCCCGCATTGGAGCCCTCTGGGCCCCCATGCCCCGTGCCCTGCGAGAGCTGGAAGAGAGAGAGAGAGAGAGAGATAGAGAGAGAGAGAGAGAGAGAGAGAGATTAAAAAAATGGAGAGAAAGAGAGAGAGAGAGAGAGAGAGAGAGAGAGAGAGAGAGAGAAGAGAGAGAGAGAGAGAGAGAGAGAGAGAAAAAAGAGAGAGAGAGAGAGAGAGGAAAAAAAAGAGAGCCAATAACTTCAAGGCTTGGCGTCGAGATTTCAAAAGTGCCCCGCGAAGGCTCCAATATGTTTCCGAGATGGAGCGTATTCATGTTGGTTCAAGCCGCTCCTGTTTGAACGGCGATCCTGCACACTTACTTGCGTTTTAGCACGCACGCGTGCCTCCAGCTTCCTCTCTTCCCAGGGGCAGCCGCGAGAGACATGGGGCGTCCGTCGATCGTCGTCCTGGCGGCCCTCATCCTCGCCGCCTGGCCCGCCGCATGTGTCGAGATTATGTTCGAGGCGACGCCGAGCCCGACGTGCGAGACTTCGACGCACGCAATTCTTCACGCTTCGCGCATCCCCACCAGCCCATCCCAAAGCAGCCGCCAGGCGAGTTGCCTTGATAAGGGAGGCGCAGCAGCAAGCAATCCAAAAGTGAGCCACATCCGTTTTGGAGGCCCCTTGGGGTCGTCTCTGGCCGTCTTGGGCCATCCTGGGGCTATCTTTGGCCGTCTTGGATGCACCTTGGGCCGCCTTGGAGACATATTGGGGCCATCTTGGGCTCTCTTGGGACCATCTTGGCCGTCTTGGAGGCCATCTTGGGCGTCTTGGAGGCCACTTGAGCCGTCTTTGGGCCCTCTTAGGGCCGTCTTGGGGGCCTCTGGGGCCGTCTTGGGGCCATATTGGGGCCTCTTGGGGCGCTCTTGGGGGCCTCTTGGGAGTCCTGGAGGGCCTCCTGGAAGCCATCTTGGAGGTGGTCGGTCAAACGAGGGGGGGGGCCCGCCGTCTGGTCCCCCCCTCGGGGGCCACGATCCTTGTGAGGGGTGTCCAAAAATAGCCTTCCGAAGCAGCGAAAAAGGACCCTCTAACCGATCGCGGCCGCTCCCGCCCAGGTCCAGGGGAGGGGGTAGGGGGAGGGGTAAACCCCTCCCCGAAGGGGAAGAGGGATTGTGGGAAGTCGTTGGAAGAGGGGAGAAGAATCTCCCTAGACCACCTGTCGCCCAAAGGGCTGGTGGGATTACATGGGTAAAGGGTAGCTATTCAGGCGCACCGACCATTCATGCAACATGCACCGGACCCAGCGGGATCCCTGCATGGGTTCAACATGGATTTATGCTTCTATCCAGCTGACCTGGTTGGTACACACTTGGAGGGTCGTGCCGATTGGTGCTGCGGCACTCATAATCTTGCCATGCGCATTATGAGGCGCAACGACAACGACGAGTACATCACAACCGGCACATGTTGCAGCTCTCACGAGGACAACCAAGTGACCGATGTCACGTCGCAGTGCGCAGACCCGACGCCGAGCCCTATCATGCCCAGTCCAACGCCGAGCCCGACGCCGAGTCCGACGTGCGAGACGTCGACGCACACAATCACATGGGTAAAGGGTAGCTATTCAGGCGCACCGACCATTCATACAGCATACACTGGACCCAGCGGGATCCTTGGGTTCAACATGGATTCATGCCTCTATCCAGCTGCCTGCGGCAAATCCCGCCACCGTGCCAACCCAGTTATCTCGATGGTTTTGCGCGAGGGAGCACGGATTCCCAAGCTTGCGACGTAATGTAATTCGTGGTCTGATGGTGATGGTGATGGTGATGGTAAAGAGAATATGTTGAGGGCGGTGGTGATGATGATGATCGTGATGACGCTGATGATGTTAAGGAGGAAGAGGAGGAGGAAGAGGAAATCCGTCACATGTGACAGATTTCCGTCTTTTGGAAGTGAGGCCGTGACGCAGAGGCCGGCGCCGTCACATGAGACATTTTGGCCGTCTGGGGCCGGGCGACGACGTTGACGATCATTGCGCTGATGAGGCCTCGCGGCAGAGGCCGAAACCGCCACATGTGACACCTCGGCCGTCTCGGGGGTGGCGATGATGACGATGATGATGGTGACCATGATGATGATGATGATGATGATGATGATGATGATGATGATGCTTTTGTTGTCGGTTTGTTGCCTCTTGTACGTGTGTGTGTGTGCGTGCGCGCGTGCGTTGGGATCTCGCGATTCAATTCTGAAGCCTCTTGGGAGCAGTTTGGGGGCCTCTTGGGCATCATTCGGGCTTTTTGGGGGCTATTGGGGCTTCGCGGGGGCCTCTTGGGGGCGTCTTGGGGCTTCTTGGCGGCGTCTTGGGGCTTCCTGGAGGCTTTCTGGGGCGGAAGGCTAGAATTTTCGGTTCGTGGCCCCTCTCTCGGACCTCTCCTGTGGCAGCCTTTGGCGCCTCTTAGACCATATTGGGCGCCTCTTGGGCCGTATTGGAGCTCTCTTGGGCCATTTTGGGGCCCTATTGGGGGCCTCTTGTGCTGTCTTGGGGCGGTCTTGGAGGCTTCTGGTGCCGTCTTGGAGAATCGGGAAGCCGAAAAGGGGAATAAGCCAAAACCATTGAAACAACCAATGGAAAATCAACGATTTTGGCTTCTCGGGCTTCTCTTCGGGCGCCTCTTGGGGCTCTCTTGGGCCGTCTTGGCGGCCTATTGGGCCGTCTTGGCGGTCTCGGGGCGATCTTTGGGCGTCTGCTGGCTCTCTTTGGCCGTCGTGGCGGTCTCTTGGGGCCGTCTTTGGCGCCTCTTAGACCATCTTGGGCGCCTCTTGGGCCGTCTTGGGGCTCTATTGGGCCGTCTTGGGGCTCTCTTGGAGGCCTTTTGGGCCGTCTTGGGGCCGTCTTGGAGGCTTCTTGTGCCTCTTTGAGAATCGGGAAGCCGAAAAGGCGAAGAACCCAAACTCATTGGAAAACCAATGGGAAATCAACGATTTTCGCTTCTCGGGCGATTCTTCGGACGCCTCTTGGGGCTCTCTTGGGCCGTCTTGGCGGCCTCTTGGGCCGTCTTGGGGCCGTCTTGGGAGTATTGGGGCGATATTTGGGCGTCTGCTGGCTCTCTTGGGCCGCATTGGCGGTCTCTTGGGGCCGTCCTTGGCGCCTCTTAGACCGTATTGGGCGCCTCTTGGGCCGTGTTGGGGCTCTCTTGGGCCATTTGGGGGCCTTCTTGGGGGCCTCTTTGGGCTGTCTTGGGGCGGTCTTGGAGGCTTCTTGTGCCGTCTTGGAGAATCGGGAAGCCGAAGAGGCGAGGGACCCAAACTCATTGAAAAACCAATTGGACATCAACTATTTTTGCCCCTCGGACCTCTCTTCGGACGCTTCTTGGGGCTCTCTTGGGTTGTCTTGGCGGCCTCTTGGGCCGTCTTGGAGCCGTCTTGGGAGTCTTGGGGCGATCTTTGGACTTCTGCTGGCTTTCTTGGGCCGTCTTGGCGGCCTCTTTGGGCACTCTTAGCCCATCTTGAAGCGAATCTGTGGCATTTCTCGAGGGGTTGTGGCCTCGGGAGGGGGGCCGACGCATGCAGCCCGGCGCGACGAGAGGGGGGGGGTCCCTTAGAGGATTTTCAGAAACCCTACCAGACCAGCACTTGACATTCTTGCACGCCTCAACGTGCCAGGGGGCACGGTGGCGGATCCAGCTGACCTGGTTGGTACACACTTGGAGGGTCGCGCCGATTGGTGCCGCAGCACTCATAATCTTGCCATGCGCATTATGAGGCGCAACGACAACGACGAGTGCATCACAACCGGCACATGTTGCAGCTCTCACGAGGACAACCAAGTGACCGATGTCACGTCGCAGCGCGCAGACCCGACGCCGAGCCCTACCGCGACGCCATCCACAGCGTCTGCAGCCGGTGATCCACATTTGCAAAACATCTACGGCGAGAGGTTCGACTTGATGAAGCCTGGTAAGGTGACACTTATCAACGCCCCACGTGGGACGCGAGTCGAAGTCGCGCTGCTTGCGGTAGAAGCTGACGCGCGCCGCCTGGGCGGGAACTGCGCCGACATGTACTTCACGAGCGTGAACATCACAGGGGCATGGGCGGACAAGCTGCAGGCCGGCGGCATCCGGTTCGACGCCGACGGCGCTCAGAGCCACAAGGTGCCGATGTGGACGAGTTTCGGGCCGCTGGCGGTCAAAGTCGTCCACGGGCGAACGGAGGAGGGCATCAGGTACTTGAACCTCTTCGTCAAGCACCTTGGGCATGCCGGCTTTAGATGATCACACGGAGGTGGCGAGGGCCCCGAGGGAACGCCGCAAACAATTTCTCTTCGCAAGGTGAGCCGGACCAGCGTGGGGGCTGAGATGGCCTCGGCGGCGATCGCAAGCTGAGTCGGCCTCCTTGGCCATCGGGCACTTGACTTGCCAGCTTTCGAAGATGGCTTCTTGGGTTTTCCATGTTTTCGTAGTTGCTCGCTGGCGGTTCGTTCTCAATGCGGCGTGTGCAGTTTCGACGAGGCCGTTTCCATTTGTGGTGCGCGAACTACGTCCTTCTGCGATCGCGCGTGGCGTTCGAGCACTCGCGCGCTTGCCCATTCAGGCCACTGTGCAGTTCGATACTTCTGTTTTCCCAGCTTGCGTGTGCACGCCCATTCTTGTCACGCTTGCATCCTTAGCGCTCTGTGTACATATGCCTGTTCGTTCTGGCCGTTATCATCTGTGAGCGCGCTGCAAAAAAAAGATTGCGGGGCGCGCGCGGCCTCCGCGCGCGGTCGGACCTCGCCCGGCCCGACCCGACTTTGCATTCTCAGCGCTCGCGCGCGTGCCGCACAGCGCTCGCACTTCTTCTGGTAGACTCTTTGCTGGG